GAATCAAATGTTGCAACCAAACATTATAGAATCTATTACATTTGCAAGAGCTTTTATCAATGCTTTTGATTGTATCACCTTCAAATTGTTTGGTTGGCGGAACTTTTCAAAATCAGATACCCAGAGAGCTACAGGTATTGATTCTGGGACTGCTCAGTACAAAATCCCAGCTAGGGTTAGGGTTAACATTCACAGTCTACTTAGACAATTTGTAAGTTCAGCGCTGGATTTTGGGGCCCAAGTCAACTTTAAGACAAGTGACTTTTTGCTGCTATCTAAATTTTATTTTTCAGGGACTCTTCGGTGCCCGTATTGCGCAGCGTCCCGCTCGGTTATTTTGACCTGAAAATGTGTTGGTCGGATCAAAACTTGCAACCAAACATTACAAAACTCTTAACAATTGCAAGAGCTTTTATCAATGCTTTTGATTGTATCACCTTCAAGTTGTTTGGTTGGGGGAACATTTCAAAATCCGATACCCACAGAGCTTCAGATATTGATTGCAGGACTGCTCAGTAGACACCCCAGCTAGGGTTAGGGTTAACATTCACACTCTACTTAGACAATTTTTAAGTTCAGCGCTGGATTTTGGGGCCCAAGTCAACTTTAGGACAAGTGATTTTTTGCTGCTATCTGAATTTTTTTTTATCGGAGACTCTTCGGTGCCTAGGTGGCGCGCAGACCCGCTTGGTAATTTTGACCCAGAACTGTGATGGTCGAATCAAATGTTGCAACCAAACATTATAGAATCTATTACATTTGCAAGAGTTTTTATCAATGCTTTTGATTGTATCACCTTCAAATTGTTTAGTTGGGGAAGCATTTCAAAATCCGATACCTAGAGAGCTTCAGTAATTGATTGCGGGACTGCTCAGTAGACACCCCAGCTAAGACCAGTGATTTTTTGCTACTACTGTACTTCTGCAGATGATCTTCAACTACTTCATCAGAGACAGGGAAGCATCTTCCCCAGGCCATCAGAATTCCGATACCAGCTGATCTAGAGTTTGTGGACCAAACTGTTCCCTGACCTGTGGCATCATAGGTGGGGCTTATTCACTCTGTGCTACTGCACACATTTTGCAATTGGTGTTTGTCTGAAATGTGCATATCTGAACTGTCTCCATCATTGAAAACCTCTACATCAGTGTTATGAGGGTTTTATTATCTCTTTCTGGGGGGTGGGAGTGAATTCATAGCACATTAATAAAGTTAATATATTAATTAGACTATCCCTTTAAATTTTCAGTTACTGTTACTGAAAATAACTGAAATGTGTTACTGAAATGTGAAACGTATGCCATAAAACCCCAGTAAAACATGCTTTATGTGATATTCTTTTGAGAAAGTTAAGCTATTTTTAAGCAATCCAAATAGTCTATGCTAATTTCTGTACTGCATTTCAGCAGGAGGTGTTTCTGTAATTGTGCTGACTTAGTTTATGTTTTTAATATTATTTTAAAAGTGCTTTTAATGAAGTAAAATTGTGATAAAATCGACACTAATATATTTTATACACAAATGACACATATCCATTTTCATTTAAAATGGATAGTGTAATCGACTCTATCAAATGCTTTAATACATAATGAACACTAAGGGGAGCCGTTATTATACACTGTGCAAAATGGAACAAAACAAAAATATAAGTCCATTGGTAGACATTTGTATTATTTTACTCCACAGTGATCCAGCCATGGATATAAGTGTTAATAATTTTAACATGTTGACTATTTTGTTGGAGTTCCTCTTTTATTCTGTTTAATACAAAAGAAGTGAACCAAATTCTTAAATAATAAAGGTTATGTTCAATTAAAGATGTTATACATAAGCTTCTTTTAAAAATAATTTATTTGTTTTTAATCATCATGCACAGTATATGATGGTCTATGTAAACAAAACAATGTTCACATAGACTAATAAAACATAGACTTAAAACTGCTCATTTATAGGGCATTCGCTTTGACAGCTCTCAGGTCCAAATCTTTGACCTGGTTTTAAAGCCCATAAAAGCTTCAAAAGACTCAAAAAAGGAAAAGGCCTGGCCATCATTTGGGACATGATGTGAGGCACTGACCTTGAAGAAACCACAATAAAGTAAAGCTTTATGCTGGGGCACAACACAAAGGTGAGTAGCAAGACATTAGTATGAAGGTAAACAACTAAAAGAACTGAATAATCAGACTTTTAATGGAAGTAATGGAAAGAGCGTTGATGTACAGGCAAGAGACATATTATTTCACATTGAAATGTTTAAGACAGCTGCATTTAGTCCATTTAAGGAGTCAAATATAAAATGTGATACTGCTAAGTACAGTATTAGTAGAAGGATCTGTTACTAAGTGGGTTAAAACAGAGGGCAATGTGGTTTTAGAGGTTATCTAGATTGGCAGATCTCATTTACTGTAGTTCATCGCAGAGCAGGATCTAGTGTGACATTTGAATCCTTCAGCAAGGCCAGGTTTGTACAGAAGGGACTGGTCACACTGGACAGATTCTGATGGAGAGCGTGCTTATTCCTCTTGCTAACAGAGCATGAAGACCTGGCTACAGTGAAACCTGCAGCAGCTCTACAGGGGTGATACTGTTATCCCATTGTGCAACAAGATGATAGCCTCTGATATTGGCCCTTGCAAGCCATAGTCAGTCCTTGTCTGAGCCTGCCCTGTGTGTTACAGCTAGCTGCAAATCAAGTAGAGAGGCAGAGCAGTGACTGTCTCCGAGGTGCATTCTGACAAGATATTTCTTTCAACTACTGCCTCATCTTCATCATCAGTGAGCTTAAATATTTCCTCCATGGTGCAGATCTTCCTCTGCTAGCATCCACAACACAGACAGCAGCGAGCATCTTCACCAGCAAGTCATTTTCACCAGGCCTTCAGTGGTATTTGGAGGACTCTGATGACCTCTGAGCACAAAAGCATCTCTCCCAGCCACAGGAGGCTCACAGCATGGACACTGTTACAGTGTATCTTGCCTTCAGTCGACAGCATCAACAGCATCAACCACAGATCATGGCCGCAAGCAACAAATTCTGCAGAGCAATTCTGTGCTCTATGAGTCCACACAGCAAAACTGGCAGGACAATAGGTTGTGGTTTCACCTTGTACTACAGTTCCATGTAGTGACCCAATTCTCCTGTCAGGGTCTGAACATCTTCTTGTAGAGGTTCAGTGACTCCAAAAAGCTGTGGGAAAAAGCCCATGGCAAAACAAAATGAGAAATGCCCTCAATTAGATATTGCCTGTGAAACCAAGCTAATTAGAAATATTGGCTAACCAAGTCAGCAAGTTAAAGACTTGAGAACGGATAAAGAAAAACTGAGAACGGATAACTTTTTCTTTGAAACGCACCATTTCAATGTTTTTAGTTGTGCACATTAATTTTATGTCAACAAAAATCAGACGTACTCTGTTTATTTCACTGTCACTTTGAATTTTGTTTGATGAATTGCATTTGCAGCAGTTTTTTTTTCATTTTATTGTTTTTTCAGTTTAGGTCACGATGGTAAGATACTGTCTCTGTTTTAGTAAAATGTTCAGTTTTGTAACCTTCATCCTTCAAATATAAATGAATTTGTTTACATTGTAAACAAATGGCCCTGTCGCCCGTCTACATTGTATGGGCGACAGGGCCTTCTCCTGCTATGCCCCCAAGCTCTGGAACTCCTTGCCCAAGGATATTAGAGAGTCACCTTCTCTAAACTCCTTCAAATCCAGACTCAAAACCCTCCTTTTCAGAAAAGCCTTTACTTAACTGGTTCCATTCTTCACCCCTCTGCTCTTCTTAATACCATCTTCCACGGTCTCCTCTATTGTTATTGTTGTATTGTTGTAATTATAATTGTGTCCTGTCTTGTGAAATTTTCTTATTTATTGTTGTAGTCTTCTTATTTATTGTTATTGTCATCCTGTAAAGCGCTTTGAGAAGCCACCTTTAAAGGAGCTATATAAAATAAAGTTTATTATTATTATTATTATTATTGTCTTTAAGTTACTAGAAATAACTCGAAAAAATGAAAAGGAAGTAGCAGTTGTATCACTTTTCATAACTGAGGTTTTATTAGAGTAAGTGAAGGTCAATTCCTTTGTTTGTTGCCTTGCAGTAAACACATGCTGACACAGCTCTCCACTCAAACATCTTCAGTCTTATTAGAATAGTTACTTTGCATTATTTCATGATTTTATTTATGAGTTTCTTACTTAAAGCTTGAGAGCTGAACACCTGTGTCTATCACTGAAGAGCTCTGTATTGGCCAGGTGTTTCTAGAGAGAGAGACAACCACTGTAGTGACCATGTTGAAGTAGACTTTGGTGTAATAGGACAAGGTTAATCAATTCTCAGTAATGGAAGAGGAAAACTATGTGTATGAAAAAAATGAAAATTAATTCCACAAGTTCAGCATGGTCTGGGTTCACTTGGGTGAGCATTTTTGGTATGTGAAGAGCAAAGGCCGTGAGTTACAGAGTTGAACATCAGATGCTGATGAGCCGGACAGAGAGAGAGATTATAATTGCTTTATCAGTTAAACATCCTCTCGATCTGGACTTAACATCTTCACAATGGAAAACAGATTTATTAGTAAAAAGATGCTTCGTTATGACTCAGAGACTCAGGTAAAAGCAAACATTTTTAAGTTTCTTTTAGCATGTATGACAGCCTATCCTGTTTGCAAGATTATCCGCTATAGTTATGGAAGTCAAGAATTTTTATGGTGTGGTTAATGCTGAGTACCAGGGGGATATCAGTAATATCAATAGCCATTAACCATTCAGTGCCATTTAGCCAATTCAAGCCAGAAATGAGGGTTGACTAAAATTGTAAGCCACAGATTGTCACGAATGTCAGAAGGGCAAGCCGTGGAATGACAAGGAGAGCAGAAGAGACCCTATGCCTAGTGGCAAAAGGGGCAACACGGAGGTTAGCCCGGGCTCAGGGGGTATGACGATGTTGGGATAGAAACCTATGCCCTCAGGCCACAGAAGAGGGGCAAGACATCCGTACCCTCAATGCTGAGCCAGGAGCAGAGCAGACACAGGAAGTAAATAGGCTACACAACATGACACACCGGAAAGACGTGAATAATCACAGGGAACTAGGAACAGGACAAAGGCAGAGTGCCCTCTAGGTGTACAGAGCGTGACACGGATACCATTGGCTGACCAGTTGTTCAGTGACTCCATTACATCAGCCATCAGGTAAGGTGGGAGTTTTATAAGGTGGTTCTGCAACTAGCCACCAGTCAGAAATCTTGGAGCCGATTAAGCAAAAAAAAATTTATACCTTTTTGTTCTACCTTTGAACACAAAATTGAACCAAAGCTACAACAGAATCTGCCTACATCTTGAGAACTGAAACTGGACAAGTATTTTTGACCACTAAAGTGACAACAAGTGAATATAGGGAGACAGTTTTTTTATTTCAAGGAAGATTTACTTTTAGAACCTGCAACTTGTAAAAATGAGTTTCCGTGTTTAGTTTGAAGTGAATTGTATTTTTTTTTTTTTTTGGTTTTGAAGTTTGTGCCTCCTCGTTATACCTCAT